ACCCGGCCTTGAGGTGGCCTCAGGTGCAAAGTGTGACCCTGGGCGGGTGCCACGGTGTGTGCATCTGTGAAATGGGTGCGTAGGAACGGCTGCGTCGGACCCGCGCGGAAGAGGTGTGGGCGGCGCCCGGCACACAGTAGGTGCGCAATAAACGTCCAGGGCAGCGGGGTCGGCGTGTGGGGCTCAGACAGCCGGCCCCTGCCGCGGCCTCGGGCCTCCGCGCCGTGCGGGGCTCCGGGCCCGCCCCGGGGAGGGCTGGGCAGTCCGCACCCCGGCCGTGCCTGGGTTCCAGGAACCGGCAGAAGGAGCCCAGGGCAGGCCGCTGTTGCAACATCGGAGGGCGGCGTGCCGGCGTGCCCGGGCAGCGCCGCCGCCTCGGCCCGCGGGCACCGCCAGGAAAGAAAAAGCAACTCAGAAGTGGGCACCGGGACAGGCGGTGGAATCCCGGGCAGGGCACGGCCGGGCGAGACGGCGGGCCCGGGTGGAGACTGCGCCCCGCGGCGCGGCCTATCCGGGGAAGCTGGGTACGTCCTGGCCAATGGGAGGCCCCGGCGAGGCAGGCCACACCCCCAGGGGGAGCCCATTGGCCCGAGGAAAGCGTTAGGGGTGGGTCCCTGAGGTCCCTCTAATCCGCCGCCTCGCTCCCTTCCAGCCGTCCTTCTGCTGGGGCTTCCTAATATGGGGGCGCCGAGGGTTGCTCTGAGGGGGCACGCTCAGGCCTCGTCTGTGCTCAGACGTGCGTCCCTGGGCTCCTCTCACCTTATCAGAGCCAGAGCTGTGCTTAAAAGTTCAGTAAGTCATTCGGAAGCCACGTGAGAGGCTGAGCGGGTCCGGGCAGAAGGCAGAGCCCGCGCAAAGGTCCTGGGGCAGCGCCGGGCCTGGCGTGTGGGAGCAACGGCCAGGAGGCCCGGGTGCTGGAGCAGAGTGAGCGAGGGGCGGCCAAGGAGGGGACGGGGCGGGTCCTCCCGTCGGCTGCGGAGAGGACAAAAGGAAGCCATGGAGGGCTTTAGACAGTGGGGAGATGTGACGTGCCACCTAGAGGCTGTGCGGTTTGGGGCAAAGTCCTCTCCCTCTCTGGGCCACAGGCTCAGCCATCACACGGGGGAGCGACAATACCTCCTTGGGGAGCGATGCGAAGAGAGGCTCCAGCGAGGCGGGTGCACAGCCTTCGTGGGCTCCAGCTCTCATTAGCCCCCACCCGAAAGAGGGCACGCCCCTGGGTCGTGGGTCGTGGTCCCCGGGCTCCCGCCCTCGCCGCCACAGTCCGTCCTCCGCACGGCGGCCACCAGAGGGCGCCCCTGAGCACCCGAGTCAGGCCCGCCCTTCCCTGCCCACAGCCCTCCAGGGCTCCCACCTCTCTGGGAGTTAAAAAAAAAAAAAAAAAAAAAAGCCCAAGTCCTCCCCCACGGCCGCCAGCGCCCTGCACGACCTGCTCCTGTCCCCTCCCTGGCCTCGCCCCCTCCCTCGCTCACTCTGCGCCAGCTACACACGCCTTCTTGCTGTTCCTCCCAGGTGCCAGGCCCATTCCTGCCCCCGGACCTTTGCATGGACTATTCGCTCTGGAACCCTCTCCCCCCGCCACCCCCCTCAGCCATCCACATGCCTCCTCCCTCACTTCCTTCGGGTCCCCCTCCTTCAAGTTGTACCCCCAAGCCCGCCCCCGCCCCCCACCTCCCCTCCCTCTCTCCCCCAGCATAGTGTTTCTCAGCGACCCCGCCACCCAGCACACGGTTCATTCCACTTCTGGATCTCACTAACCATCTGTCTCCCCCCCTGGATCATCAGCTCCATGAGGGCACAAAGTTTGACTTTGTGTTCCCTGCTGTATCCTCGGTGCCCGGAACAGCCCTTGGCACACAGCAAGTGCTCACCAAATGTTGATGAATGAATCCGTGAAAGATGACGAATTATCCTTAGGCTGCCCCTCCCCCAACCCCCAAGCTCCAGCTCGCCTCTGTTCCCCTTCCTGTCCTCCCCCACTCACCCCCCCCCCCCGCCCTAGGGGAGGGAACCCCAGGGGTTCATTGGGCTACAAGAGGGAGGAGCAGGCCTGGCAAGGAGAACCAGGCGGGGCGGGGCGGGGGAGTGGGGCCGTCCATGTGATTTCTGTTTGAATTAGAGGTGGGGAGTAAGGGAGGCAGCCCGGGGTTGTGTTTGTGGGAAGGTTCTGTGGCCTGGCGAGGCCTTGCCAAGCGGCCGGCTGTTGGACCTCGGTTCTGGCCAGTGCCCGAAGCCATCCATCCCGCCCCCGGGGAGCAGAGGAGACGGGTCCACGTGGGCGTGTGGAGGCAAGTGTAGGGGCCTCGAAACCCTACCCAGCCCAGAGGCCCAGCTCGGACCAAGGGGGTTAGGTGGCCGAGGCCTGGGCCAGCCCTCTCCTCCCCCTCCGCTTCGGGCCCAGGCTTCCTGCCCCTGAGCTCCAGAATCTCTCTGCCAACGAAACCCCAGCCAGCGCTGAGGTTCTCAATGATGAACAGATGGTCTTAGGTCGAGGAGGGGTGGGGTGTGGAGCTGAGCCCTGGAGGGGACCAGAGGTCTCTGGAGCAGCCTTGCTGCCCTCCTAGGGGGAAACCGAGGCAGGGAGTCCCTCCATGCCTCTGTGCCCAGGGTGGGGGGCACCGTCCGCAGAGGGTCCCCTGGTTTGCCCACGTTGCACTTGGCAGAGGACAGCATGGGGGAGGGCGGAGACCCGGGCCCTCTGCCAGGTCAGATTCCTCCCGGCAGCGGTTGGGGGGGGCGGGGGGGGAAGGGAGAGGGTTTTTTTTTTTTTTTTTTCCAACAGAATCAAAAGGAGGAGAGAGCTGTTCGCAGGAAGGAGGGATTGGAAGGAAGCCTAGGCTGGGCTCACCCTGAAAATCACACTCCCGGCCTCACGCCTGGCGGCTGGGAGTGGGGGTGGCGGGAAGGGAGTTGGGAGCCTCTCTTCATCCACCGCATCCCTGCATTTTCCAGAAAAGGGGGCAGCCTGCTCAAAGGACAGCAGACACGGCCACCTCCCCCCGCGGCTACGGCCCCTCCCCCACTGGTTACTCAACATGCTGCCTCCACACCTTTGCTTGGGCTGTTCCCTCCCCCTGGGACGCCCTTTCCCTCCACGGCAGATTCTGTCTCCCCAGGCCACCTTGGATCTGGTCTTCCTGGACCTCCAGGAAGGGGTGCCAGGTGCACACCTGAGGCCAAAACACACAGATCAGGAGTAACACTGACCTTGTCCTTATGGAAACACAAGGATTCTCAGGGCGCCTGGGTGGCTCAGTCGGTTAAGTGTCGACTTCGCCTTCGGCTCAGGTCATGGTCTGGTGGTTCGTGGGCTCGAGCCCCGCGTCGGGCTCTGTGCTGACAGCTCAGAGCCTGGACCCCGCCTCGGCTTCTGTGTCTCCCTCTCTCTCTGCCCCTCCCCTGCTCGCTCGTGCGCGCGCGCTCTCTCTCTCTCTCTCTCTCTCTCTCAAAAGATAAACATTAAGACGAATTAAAGAAACAAACACGTTGGTTCTGTTGGTTGTGGATTGTTTGAGTCTCAACAAGACTGTGTGATGAGATTAGTTATCTTGAGGACTGGGTTTTGGGTGCCCCCCTCCCTGCAATGTTACGGCCCCCCATTAAGTGCCTCGCCCTCATTTTGGTTCTCAGGATCTGGAGCCTCGGGGAGGGCTCTGACAAGGCCAGGAATACAAAGAGGCCCGAAGTCTGGCCCTCGCCCCTGGAGACAGACCCCAGAGAGGCAAGAGCAGTGATAAAGGGGGCCCTGGGCACACCTAGGCTGGTTGTTGGGTCCCTGGGCACAGAGCGTGCAGGGACATCCTCGCCTGCCGGGTCCCGGAGCCTGCCCGAGGGAACGTGACCCCAGCAGACCTGGTCACAGCAGCTTACCCGCCGCCGTGTGACCCTGGGCAAGTCACTTCCTTCTCGCAGCCTGAGTACTGCCTCTTGCAAGGGCAGGCTAATGAGGGTTCCGCTGCCTGCCCCCAGGCCTGGTTTTGCACCAAATGGGATAATAGCCGGAAACCGCTGCCTACACAATGGAAGCCCTTATTAGGGCTTCAGGGCCACCTGCGGGCCTCAATTTCCTCATCTATAAAATGGGCATAATGATACAGTGTTACTGTTTAACCTCCAGGGCTCCCGAGGATTCAAAGGGTGGTTCTCAGATGTTGCAGAGGGAACATCTGAAGGCTGAACTAGTTCTGCTAAGGTGGGGACAGTGGCTTCTGTTGCAAAGTCTGGACACCCTGACCCCCTGCAACACTGGGGGAGAAAAGCATAGCAACAAAAAGAAAAATCATCTAAAACCATTGTTGCGATTGTGATCTCTTTCTTCATGGTCTGTCCCCCCTCTGCCCCCACCCTTGTTTTTTCCTGGCCTATTTCACAGCCAAGAGCCACAAGGTAAGACTGTCCGGGGGTTAGGCTGATGGCCCCCGTGAGCCAGACTGTCCAGCTTTAAACCCCAGACTTACCACCTATTGGCTGTGTGACCTTGGGCAACTCTCTCAACCTCTCTGTGTCTCAGTTTCCCCATCGACACAATCAGAATGATGACAGGGGAGCCTGGGTGGCTCAGTTAGTTGGGCGTCCCACGCGGTGTCACGGTCGGTTGTGGGACTGAGCCCTGTGGTGGGCTCCATGGTGGGCGTGGGGCCTGCTAGGGATTCGCTCTCTCCTCTTCCTCTGCCCCTGCCCCACTCAAGTGCTCGCTCTTTCTCAAAAAGAAATAGAATGATGACAGTGTCTTTCACATGGAACAGTAGCGACGAGTTAACGTGGGGATCAGCAAACTACATTCCAGGGGCCAGATTTGTGCGTGTGCAGCAGGCTCCCCACTCGGGGAGCTCGATCTCATGGCCGAGAGATCACTCACGACCTGAGCCGAAACCAAGAGTCGGAGGCTGAACCCACTGAGCCACCGAGGCACCGCTGGTCTTACATTTTCTAATGGTTGGAAGAAATCCAAAGAATAAGATTTCGTGACAGGTGAAAGTTATGTGACATTTACACGTCGGTGTCCATAAATAAAGTTTTATTGGTACACAGCCCGTCTGTTCACATGCTGTCCCTGGTGGCTTTTGGCTTTCCAGTGACAAGGGCAGAGCTGAGTAGGTGCATCAGGGACCATCTGGTTGGCAACGCTGCAAATATTTACTCTCTGCCTCTTTACAGAAGTTTTTGACCCCTGAGTAACTTTGAACAGTGCGGGACACAAAGGGAGCTTGTCGAGATCATGACCTGAGCCGAAGTCGGACGCCCAACCGACTGGGCCCCCCAGGTGCCCCTGTTTTCACATAACAGACCCTTCTGCATGATTTGCTGCCCGCTGGGTCCTGTTCTAGGCACTTGGCAAGCGTGAACCTGCTCGATCCTCGCTACAGCTACTCCGATCCCGTTTTACAGACGGGTAAACTGAGGCTCGGATGGTTGAGGCGACTGGCCCAGTGTCACGCTGCCACAATATGAACCCAGGCTGGGTGGCTCCTGTCTGTGGCTTGCCTGCTTCCTTATTCCTTGAGGTAGAGACCCAGAAGGCAAATCCTTGTGTCAAAGGGAGACTGGATGGAAAGATTCTCGCTGCTCCCCGGCAAGTTGCTGCCCGTGGATGCACACGGAGATCGCTCAGGGCCAGCGTGGGGTTTGATGCTCCAAACCTAACTTCGGCCTCCCGAGGGCAGGCCCGGGAGTCTGACTTTTGCTGGGAGAATTGGCCATCCCTGCCAGATAGGGGAGCAAGGATCCCGGCTCAGAACCCAGATGCAGCGGCTGCGCCCCGGATCCCCGAGCTGTTTCTCTCTCCTGGGCCTGGGGGGCGTGGCCAGCAGGGTTCTGCTTATCTAGCTCCCCTGCCCTTTACCCCTCATGTGCCCACTGCCTACCCCCCCCCCCACCAGATCCCTGCCGGTGGGCGTGTCAAATGGTTCCACCACTTTGGAAAACAGTTCGGCACGTTCTTGAAAAGACACACACCGGCCCCCACGGGATGCAGCCTTTCTTCTCCTGGGTCTTCACCCAGGCGAGAGGAGAGACAGATAAACCAGGGTGACCTATCCAGACGGCGGGACCCTAGCCAGCGATAAAAAGGCATAGGTGACCGAATGGCCGAACCCCAAAATAACTATGCTGAGCGGGGTGCCCGGATGGCTCAGTTGGTTGAGCGTCCCTTTGGCTCAGGTCATGATCTCGGGGCGAGAGTTCGAGCCCCACATCGGGCTCCCTGCAGTAGGGCGGAGCCTGCTTCCGATGCTCCGTCCCTCTCTCTCTCTCTGCCCCTCCCCTGCTCGTTCTCTCCCTCTCTCTCTCTCTCTCTCTCTCTCTCTCTCGAAAATAAATAAACATTAAAAAGACTTCTGCTAACATGGAGAAGCCAGACACACGGCCGTGCCCATGGGTTTACTGCTCGTCCGGGGCTGCTTTGGGGCTACTGGGGCAGAGTTGAGCCGAAAGGAACTTGGGGTAATTAGCTGCAGAATGGGGCTAGACATGCCCCCCACGTCACCGGGTCAGTGCCTGCAGCTTGGCCCCGTGTGGCTCTGGCCGTGTTCTTGCACAAATGCTGGAAGTATGTCTTCAATGATTCAGCGGTTCGGATTTGCTTTCTGCTTCCCTTCCGTCACAAAGCATCTTGGACCTCAGTTCACGTCAGCGCTGTGATTGAGCAACCCTGGGGTGTGTGTGCGTGTGTGTGCCTGTGTGTGTGATTCTACTAAATATGTGCATTTACGTGTTTAGTTACTTAAAAAACATATTTCAGATATACACATACAAATACACAAACATGCATCGTATACTAAATCATAATATAGGATGCATAAATTCATCTACATTTTATGTCATACATTTTACATGTTTATGTAATACATACCAATATATTACATACACATATATGATTTGGGTTTTTTTTTTCAACGTTTATTTATTTTTGGGGGGACAGAGAGAGACAGAGCATGAACGGGGGAGGGGCAGGGAGAGAGGGAGACACAGAATCAGAAACAGGCTCCAGGCTCTGAGCCATCAGCCCAGAGCCCGACGCGGGGCTCAAACTCACGGACCGCGAGATCGTGACCTGGCTGAAGTCGGACGCTTCACCGACTGCGCCACCCAGGCGCCCCAATTTGGGGGTTTTTTAAGTAGTTTTTTTCTTCTCTTTTCTTAATGTTTATTTATTTATTTTTTTAATGTTTATTTTTGAAAGAGACACAGGAGGAGGAGGAGGGGCAGAGAGCGGGGACAGAAGATCTGAAGCGGGCTCTGAGCCATCAGCACAGAGCCCAGTGCAGGGCTCGAACTCAGGAACTGTGAGATCATGGCCCGAGCCAACGTGGGACGTTTCGCCGACTGAGCCACCCAGGCGCCCCGAAATGATTTGCTTTTCAAAGCGGATTTTATGGGGCTCCTGGGTGGCTCAGTGGGTGAAGCGTCTGACTTGATTTGGGCTCAGCTGCTTGGGATTCTCTCTCCCCCCCCTCTTTCTCTGCCCCTCCCCTGCCCTCTCTCTCTCTCTCTCTCAAAATAAGTAAATAAGAGGGGACTTTACAAGGCCTTTGATCCCTCTGAAACTTTCATTCATGCAACAAATATTTCTTGACCACCTACTATGTAGCGGGAGCTGTTCTCCGTGCCCGGGACGGAGCAGTGAATCCCCACACCCCCTGCGTGGGGCCACAGCTCCGCCTGGCACTATGGCTCTGAGCTGGTGCTTCCGCCGTTCGCTTGGGCTCCAGATGCTAGAATGAGTTCAATCCCAGTCCGCCCCATGACTTACCGTCGCCATTGCTCCATTTATCAGTAAATTTTACAGTCGGCTCATGGAATAAACACCCGCCAAGTGAACACCACCTGGATAAACAGAATTTTAGCAAAAACCCCATCCTGCTCTCTGGCTCCTCTCCCTGAAGTAACCCCACCCCGCAATCTGGAATTGATCCCTTCCCCCGCTTAAAGATAACTGTGTCTCAAATGGTTGTGACCCCCAAAATATCATCTCCATTTCAAGTATCGTAACTTCATAAAGTGACTGTCATGCTGGGGCTCGGTCGGTTGAGCGTCCGACTCTCGGTTTCGGCTCAGATTATGATCCCGCGGTTCATGGGATCAAGCCCTGTGTCGGGCTCTACACTAGTCGTGTGGGGCCTGCTTGGGATTCTCTCTCTCTGCCCTTCCCCCGCTCATGGGCGCGCGCGCTCTCTCTCTCTCTCAAAATAAAGAAATAAACATTTTTAAAAAGATAAACATTTAGGGGGCGCCTGGGTGGCGCAGTCAGTTAAGCGTCCGACTTCAGCCAGGTCACGATCTTGCGGTCCGTGAGTTCGAGCCCCGCGTCGGGCTCTGGGCTGATGGCTCGGAGCCTGGAGCCTGTTTCCGATTCTGTGTCTCCCTCTCTCTCTGCCCCTCCCCCGTTCATGCTCTGTCTCTCTCTGTCCCAAAAATAAAAAAAAACGTTGAAAAAAATTAAAAAAAAAAAAAGATAAACATTTAAAAAGAGAGAGACTATCACGCTACGTGTAACACTGGGGGACTTCTTGCCGCACCCAATGTCACGTTGTTCGGTCCCTCCATGCTGTTCGCCTGGGGTGGGAACACGGCTGGGCTGCTGATTAATATGCGCCTGTAGGTGAATTTCCCACAGTGCACCTCTCCCTTCTCCCAGCGATGGGCACTTGGCTTGCTTCTGGGTTTTTGCCTTCTATCGCAGGGCAGTGAGGACTGCTCCCGGAGGCAGCGAGCAAGGGCTTCTTGTGGATACGCACCTGGGAGAGGAAAGGCCACATGTCCGTCCGTTTTCCAAAGTGGTTGCAGAGTGGAAGAGGTCCGTGTACTCACAGGCTCTTGGGCGTTTGGTATTGTTGGGCACTTTAAAGGTTGTTTGTTTTGGGGCGCCTGGGTGGCGCAGTCGGTTACGCGTCCGACTTCAGCCAGGTCGCGATCTCGCGGTCCCCGAGTTCGAGCCCCGCGTCGGGCTCTGGGCTGATGGCTCTGAGCCTGGAGCCTGTTTCCGATTCTGTGTCTCCCTCTCTCTCTGCCCCTCGCCCCTCGTTCATGCTCTGTCTCTCTCTGTCCCCCCAAAAATAAATAAACGTTGAAAAAAAAATTAAAAAAAATAATAAAGGTTGTTTGTTTTGAGAGAGAGAGAGAGAGAGAGAGAGAGACAGAGAATCCCAAGCAGGGTCTGCACCATCAGCTCAGACCCCGACACAGGGCTCCAACTCACGACCATGAGATCATGACCTGAGCTGAAACCAAGAGCTGGACGCTGAACCGACGGAGCCACCCAGGCGCCCCATGGAACGTCATTCTTTTTAAAGACTGTCTCGTTTCATCAGGAGGCTGTACCATTACGTGTAGCATGCGTTCTCCACAGGAGCAAAACTGATCCTGAGGGGACGGGGACGGGGGGCAGTGAATAAAATCTTACTCTTCTAACGTACAAAACACAGATCTACATAAAGTAGAAAACAAACATGCAGTATACCTGTGGAATTAAAAGTGGATGAGAGATGGGGGCACCCGGGGGGCTCCGTCGGTGAAGCATCCGACTTTGGCTCAGGTCATGATCTCACAGTTTTTGGGTTGGAGCCCCACGTTGGGCTCTGGGCTGACGACTCAGAGCCTGGACGCCACTTCAGATTCTCTCTCTCTCTCTCTCTCTCTCTCTGCCCCTCCCACCCCACTTGTACTCTCTCCCTCCCCCCCCCCAGTCTCTCTCGCTCTCCCTCTCTCAAAAATAAATGAACCTTAAAAAAAAGTTGATGAGAGATGATTAGAAAATAAACAGTCTAAAACAGCTCCAGGGTGCATATAATGAAAAAAGGGCTGAGAAACGCCGTATGGCCATTTTCACAAGCATACGGCAATGGCATCTTCAGGGGCACGGATACGTCGTAGAAGTTCGAGATAGACTCCCAGAAGTTAGACCATAAGATCGAACCTTGTCTTGGGCCTCTGCCGCGCACGCCAAACGGCTCTCCCAATTCATACCCACATTCGCCTCCAAGCAGTTTATGAAAATGCTTGTTTCACCACATCCTCACCAGCACTAGCTTTTATCAGTTTAAACATCTTTACCTACTTTCTTTGATGAGTGCCAAAGCATAAGGTGTTTTCTTCCTGTTTGCTATCCTCTCTTTGGTCTGCGTAAGGCTGGGCACTTTTCATGCGTTGACGAATCCCTTCCGTCTCCCAGGAATGAAACAGAGTGAGAGAACTTCAGGCCAAACAGCTGGAGGAAGGGGGGGCTTTGCTCCACAGTGGCAGAAACTCAGCTCAGCTGTGTCCTACGGTTATACAGGAAGCAGGAGGTGATGGTCTGAGACATTCTCGGCCTATTCAGAAGAAGCTGAAATGATGCGATTCAGTCAGGAAAGCATCCTCTGGGCTAGCTGGGTGACCTCAGGGACCTATCTAAACCTCTCTGAGCCTCGGTTTCCTGATAAAACGGAGATGGAGTTATAGGGCTGCTACGAAGGTAACTGAGCAGGCTCACATGCAGCACTGTTCCCACAGCCCAGGGGTGGCCTCCTGGGGGACATGATGGGTGGGGGCTCCGTCGGTGCCGCCCCCGGTTGTCCCCTGGGCCCCAACCCCTGGGATCCGGCTGCTATCAACCCATCCCCCCCCCTTCCTCTCAGGTACCTAAGAGGGAGGGAGGGACAGAAGACTCGAGCTGGGGATTAACAGAGGCAGATTAGAGATGAGGAAGGAGGATGGAGAGGGGGAGAGAGACAAGGTGGGTGGGGGAAGGGGTCGCTATCCCCTTAACCCTTCCCTTACCAAAACCAGAATAGACACCCCCCTTCCTCCGGCTTCAGGTTTGTGAGAGGCAAGGCCACCTGCACAGCGTTCCCCTCCCCCCAGCGGAGCGCCCTGGAGAAGGCGCCAGGATTAGGGTCCTCGGGCTCCCGACATGCTGGTTGACCAGGGGGAAATGAGGTGCCCTCTCTGGGCCTCAGTTTTCCCTTCTGAAAACCTACGAGAGTGTGCAGATGGGATGAGACCTCAGGCCTCAGAGTGGGTGCTCCCAGCCCGGTGGAGATCCGCTAAGTGCGGGCCGAGGCTTACTGAGCACCTACTATGTAGGCAGGGTAGTGTCACATCTCGTTTGCTCGAGATTTCCCAGCCTCTGGGATGCCCAGCGGCGCGCACAGAACCGCAGAGTCAACTTCCAGAAGCCCCCAGAGTCAGCCATGGCTCCAGAAGGGCGGCCCAGGGCCCGATTCTGGTCGTGAGATGCCGCCTGCCCCCACCCTCAACCCTGGCGTCCTCCCTGGGGGAGCTGGGAACCACTTCCCCAAAGGGGTCCCTGAACCCCGGAGCCCCCAGTGCGGGGGAACTGGGGTCGCAGGCACAGGGAAACCCGGGCCGAAGGATGATAACAGAATCTTCTCCACCCACCAGGCTCGGGCGAGACCCCTCCCGTCGTCCCCCAGCTGCGCCAGACGCAGAGCCGGGGAGGGGGGGAAGGGGGCGGCGCCTGTTCTGCGGCGGCCGGGGGAGGAGGACTGCGGGAGAGCGCTGAGGGGTGGGGGGGCGCTGCGGCACCGCGTCCCAGCTCTCCGCTGCCCGCTCGGCAGGGGCGGGGGGCTGACCCTCCTCGGCCCCGCCCTCCCCCCCCCCGCCCCCCCGCCCCCCCCCCCGCTGCAGAGGCACCACCATTAATCCTGACCCGGGGAGGGGGCGCCCGCTCACCCCCACCTGTGCAGCCGCCGCGCGCGCTCCCCGCCCCCCGCCCCGCTGGAGCCCCTGCGGGTCCCGCAGGGGACCCCCGCCCCCCAGGTCTGTCGTCCTCGGTGTCCGAGTCTCTGTCTGCGTCCCCATCTGTCCCGTCTCCCCCCGCTCTGCGTGCCTGTTGTGACTGCGTGTATCCGGGACACCTGCACTCGCTGGTCTGGGTGGCTGGCGCAATCGCCGGGGGGGGGGGGGGGGGGAGGGGTCCTGGGGGTGGGGGTGCAGGTCAGTCCGAGGCCCGGAGTGTCTTCCTAGGGTTGTCAACCTGGGCGAGCGTCCAGGTGACACCCTACAGGCTGTGAGTCTGTGTACGGGACAGCGTGGCGGCTGTGGCTGTCTGGGTGACACCCGCAGGCTGTGAATATGTGAGTCCCCGAGCGTCTGGCTGGGTGACACCCGCAGGCTGTGTGAGTCTGTGTTCGTGGCAGCCCGCAGGGGCTGTGCGTCCGAGACGCCGCATCGGCTGCCAGCGCGGGTCCCCGTGTGTCTGGATGGCACCGCAGGCTGTGTGTGTCGTGACGAGTGTGTGGGTCTGCGCGCGTCGGTGTGCGTGGCGTGTCCGCGTCGGAGTCGAGGAGGCCCGGGCCGCGAGTGTCCCCGAGCCCTCTGCGCGCGCGCGCGTGTGTGTGTGTGTGTGTGTGTGTGTGTGCGCGCGAGCGCGCGCGCGC